AAACCCCTTGAAGGATGTTGGCCTCTAAGCATTGGATCTGCCATTTGTGCAAATCTCAGACGATCATTGAACAATGGTCTTGCCTGCAACAAAAGGATTTATATAATAAATGTGAAATATTTTGCTAAGTTCCACATCGGTTAAGGAGGAGAACGAAACATTTTTTATAAGGGTGTGAAACCTCTCCCTAACAGATGCAGTTTAAAACTTGAGTGGAAGTGCGAAAGAAAAAGCTCAAAGAGAACAATATCGGCTAGCGGTGAGCTTGGACTATTAAATGTCCTGTTCACATAAAACCGTCGGGCTAATTTTCTTGTGCTGTCCTGTCAACTCTATTAATATTTATCTAGACAATTAATGTAGATGACCAAATTCCTATATTCGTAGAAACATGTGACTTAAAAGAAACAAACTAAAAGTTCAGAGACCAAAATGTTAAAAGTAGTCAACTACGAACATTATTGAGCACACAACCTATTTATACCATTTACCTTGTAGGACAAAATTTTCCAGAACTGAAAGATGATGATTTCTTTTCAACTATTCTTACCTCTGAAGTTGTATAAAAAAAATGAAAATTCCCAAGAATTTCGGGACCTTATAAGCCTAAAAGAGTCGTCATGTTACCAATTTGAGCACAATTCAATTAGTTAAAACATACTCTCAATCAATAGTTTAGAATAGGATTAAATGTAAGATCTCTTACCCATGAAACCAGATTTTGCTCCCCTGCAGCTCTTGAATCATCAATTGCTTTCCTGCCTGTTATGAGTTCTAGAAGAACAACGCCGAAGCTATAAACATCTGACTTGAGAGTTAACTGGCCAGTCATTGCATATTCGGGAGCACAATATCCATAAGTACCCATAACTCTGGTAGACACATGAGTATTGTCCCCAACAGGCCCAAGTTTGGCCAAACCAAAATCAGACAGCTTGGGATGATAACCTTTATCAAGCAGAATGTTGGAACTTTTTAAATCTCGATAAATAACTGGTGGGCTAGCTTTATCATGCAAATATTCCAATCCTCGTGCTGCCCCAGCAGCTATTTTCATTCTAGTATTCCAATCTAGTACTTTTGTACCAGGCGAAACGTCTGCAGAAGAAGGTAACAAAGAGTAAGCAGGGGAATTTTTCTATGCAGTAACATATTCAGAGCATGTAGAAATTTCTATACCATGTAAATGGTCATCTAAGGATCCTAGAGGCATATATTCATATACCAGAAGCCTTTGATCTCCATCAGCACAATAACCAATCAGATTAACTAGATTTGGGTGATGAAGTAGGCTTAACATCAACACTTCAACGAGAAACTCCCTGTTCCCTTGCAGCCCATTGCGATCGAGTTGTTTGATTGCCACTACCTACAACGAACGAAAAGAGAGATTTCAAGTTCTACATCCAATTTCCTTTCAAAGTACCACAAACTAAAAGGGTGAACCAATATTTTAGACCCTTTGAACTGAGAAATGATAAGCTGGAAAAATTCAAACTACATAATGATTCACAAAGAAAGGGAATTAATGGATAACTATACAACTAATCTTCCCTTTTGATATACAGTTGTGCTGTAAGAAACATTACTGACCTGATTGATGCTTTCCAAATTTCCTTTGTAAACTCTACCAAAACCTCCCTCACCCAAGAGGCAGTCTGCCCGAAAATTCCTGGTAGCTGCGGCCAACTCCCGGAATGGAAATATTTGTGCCTTTATATGATCAGATCCTCCACCATTTGAGGCTTCACTGAAGGAGGAACTTGTTTGTAGATTCTCTGTAGAATGAAAAAACAGATCAGACAAGAAACTTCTGAAAATTTTATAATAGCCACTGGATTTGGTTCTCATGATAGATGTAACCTAACAATCTCCTGTAAAAACTTATCTAAAGACCAAATCAGAAATAGTTGTTATCGAAGAACACAAATCAAGGAAGCTCGTGGATATGGTGTAGTCCAAATTAATAAATAGATAAATAGCTCGCCACTGGATTCTATTTGTCAGGATCCGATCGTGTATTCTGGATCAATGCGATATAGTATTATGCTAGATTCAAACCGTCAGCCTTGAAATCGCCATTGCACTGAAGAAGTTACCATACAGCTTCAATGCAGAGCAATATTCGAACTAGATTAAGAAAACCAGATGGCAGATTAAAGTACCGTCAAACTGGATCGTCAGACGATTACTAAAAGTGCGTTAGCAACCATAAATCCCGCAATGCAAATCAGATGTCCAACAGTTTCACTAAACATGAATCTGGTTTAGTTCCATACTCTACAGAAACGTAGCTCGTTTGAAAATCAATGGATCACCAACTACATCGCTAATAAAATTCTACAAAAACCAAAGTCAAAGAAGGAAATCGAACGAAGGAATTCCAATTATAACCATTACACAGATTAAGCTAACGAGTAACAGATTGAATCAAACAAGAGAGCAAGAGAAACACGTACCCAAAGCAGGTTTGTTCTTCAATTTCTTGGACTTAACCTTCCTATTTGAATCTCCAGAACAAGGAATCCAAATCATACTTAATTCAATCTCCTTTGGCAGTCTTTGATGAACTTCAGCAGCAGCATCCAACCAAAAAGAGGAAAACAGTTGCGAACAGTATCCCCAAAATTCCGCGAATCAAAGCCAATAAAGCCACCAGTTTCGAAAGCTCCGAAGAACTTGAATCAGAAATGGCCTTCCGCTGTCTCCCTGAAATGTTTACTTTGTCGTTTCCCGTTTACTTTCCATCTCTCTCTCTCTCTTCGTCAATATTTTTCGTTCTTCTTTTCACACCAAATATTGGTTAAATAGGGTATTTTGGCCTCAAACAAAATAAATAAATAAATAATAATAATATATAACTCGAACATAATAGAAGCATACACAACTGGGTTGAGTTGAGTGGAAACAATTTTCAGATCAATCTAAAATTTTAGATTGACTGGGTTGGTGACTCAACCTAGAGTTAGATTGTCAGTGGTTCTTTTGTTATAATTTTTTTTTTAAATGTAAGGTAACGATATAACGTTTGTATATCAACTCACAAATTGAACTATTGAACTGAATTTTCGTGTTTTTTATGATTTGGGTTGGATAGTTTGGATTAGTCGAGTTATCAAGTCATATGAACACTTTTAAAACATAGTTTAATTGGAAAAAGTGTTACAAATATAAACTTCTGACCTCGAAAAAAATGAATAGACATGAATATAACGTTTAAACATTATAATCTTAGCCTCTGTTTTATAATTTAAAAGAATCGTAATAATCTCAATTAAAAAAAAATAAAATAAAAAATTTAGTTAAAACGGATATAGTTTAATATTATTATTATTATTTGAAGGATGTAAAAAAAAGTAATAAAAAATAAAAAAAAAAATTAAAATTTTAATAATTTAATAATTTAAGAAAGAGAGTTCATCGAAACGGTGCCGTATTGACCCTTCTCAAATTATTTTAAATTGGGCTTTTTATCTGTTGAGCACATTTTGGGGCTTGTTGGGCTAAACCACTCCAACCGACGTGTCGCGGTAGTTGGGACCACGTCGGGTCATTTGACAGACTACGTGGCATATATTTCATATATTATATTATTTTATTTTGTATATAGACAGACAATAACAGAAAAAATATCATATTCAATGTCTTAATTTGACCAAATAAAGTCAGAATTTTGTTTTTCAAATTAATTCTAACATTTTATTAAATTCCAATTTTCTCAAATTTTTAATTTAACATAAAATAAAATTATAAAAATATAAATTCAAATATGAATTTGATTTTTCAATTAAAAAGCTTTAAAATTTCATATTAATTTATTCGTTTTCAAGAGATATTTCTTTATTCAAATAGAATTAAAACAAATAAGATTCTTTTAAAAATTATTTTATTTCTCTCTCTCTCTTGAAGTGTTCAACATATGAGAGAGAAAAAATGATTAACTTAAATTATTAATTAATTTATTCTTAATAGACAGACCAATGAGACAAAGGTTCAAACTAACAAAAGCTGTCTCGGACAAGCTGATGACTTATTTTATTTTATTTATTTATTTATTTACAATAAATAACACGCTTGCATATATAGAAAGTCCGGAACACATGATCAAGCCTCAAGTCATATTTAAGAGAAGTGTTTTAAACAAGAAATGCATCGAAAATAATTTTTTTAAAAAAATCAATATTATAAGTTAAAAGCGAATAAACAACAATCACAACTTTAATAACACAGGAACAATTGACAACTAGTTACATCTCCTATAGTATATTTTTTTTTGACATTTTAGTCCTGTCAAATTTAAAATGTTTTAAAATATGTCTAGAAAAGTTGTTCATTTTTCGGGGTTTCGAAAAGTTTCGAATAAATGAAAAAAAATAATGAAATTTTAATTTTTTTCACGGGTCTAATGCACTAGTTAGATATTCGTTAGATCGAGGTTCGTTAGGTTTGGTCTAATGTCAAAATCAAATTCAGCTCGGGTGGGTTTTGGTGTTGGTTCATGAGTTTAGTTTGTACGTTGTGGAGCTTCATTTGAGAAAAGAGGCAAGGTTCGACACTACAAACACGATTGAAGAGGGAAGAGAGTTCTACACGAGAAAGGAAAAGGTTGAAGTAGATCATGAGGATGACGTGAATGATTATCACAATCACACTTTTTTTACAACAGAACATCGACTGTATAGCACTTACGGACAAATTAGCTGGGTAAAAATCGTAATTCGGGGATAATTTTGATGTATGGTCGAGTATCAAGGCGTGTTTCGAGAGAAAATTATGAACGGTAATTTTTAAAATTAGGAATAAATAAATTAAAAAATTTAAATTTATTTTAAAAAATTATTTATCATATTTGGCTTATTTTCACATGACCGTTAGGGCGTCCAGATTCAAGCATTCCTCGTTCTAACGTCAGTGCTTGCGATTTTTTAATTTTTTAATTTTTTTTTTAAATATTTTTAGAGGTGGGCGGTTGTAACGTCAAAAAAGTCTCAGCTTTCTAGCATCCTATTATGAGTCCCTATAAATAATCCTCACTCGCACTGAATTGGTTAGATTGGCGTCTGTTCTTAGAGTATCTCCTCCAAGTATCGCGTTCCGAGAGTTCAAGTTTTCAGGAATCATCTCTCGAGGAACATCCATGGCTGCCTTGTGAGTATTCCGAGTTCGGGAAATGGATTTTAGCATATTTTTGTTGTTTTTTTTTTCTTCTGGTTGATGAATTTGATTCTTGTTGTAGCGTGGAAGAGGTTTTACCACCGTCGTTGGATGCCACCGCCGAACAACCTCCATTGTTCGATGGAACTACAAGGTTCGCTCGGATTTGCTCTCTTTATCTGTTGAAATCTCTGTTTTCCGTCGATTGCATTCTTTGCCCTAAATTCGCTCGCATTTAAGATTTTTTTTTCCTCTGTTATTTGAAGGTTGTATACTGCTTACATTTGTCCATATGCTCAACGTGTGTGGATCACAAGGAATTACAAGGTTTGTTTATTGATTGTTGGGTTGTGAAGTCTTATTTTCTTGCCCAAATGTCATGGTTGCTTGTGTTTTTGTTTGTACTTGTTAAGAATTGATCTAAAAAAAAAAAAATTGAACACATTCAATAGCTCAAGCTCTTAGGTCTTGTGATAGTTTAACTTGTATCGAAATAGAGTGTTAAAAGTTGGTTGGAGAATATTCATTATCTATCAATAGATTTTTGAATCATTTGTAAGAAACTAATGGCGCGAGAATTTTTTGTTTTATAATTAGGGTTTAGGTCTTTTTGGACAACGGTGAGGTTTGGATCTTGAATTTTATCTAAAATATTCAGCAACTTGCTAAATCTTGTCAGTTTCCTCTCCATGAATATAATATTAAATGTATCTTGATGCATCAACTCATTCTTTTGGATTTAGTGGTAGTTGATTATCTTTTTTTAATGCTTACTTTCTCTTTCCATGGATCTAATTTCACTCTGAAGCACTTAGGTGGCTCTTTTTTTTTTGGGTTTTGTACATTATATAATTTATTACCACCAATTATCATTTGCTTCTTATTCATTGGATGCAGGGATTACAAGATAAAATTAAGCTAGTTCCTCTCAACCTTTTTAATAGGCCTGACTGGTATAAGGAAAAAGTATACCCTACAAACAAGGTGATTCATATTGAAGAAAATCACATTCTTGTTCCTTGTTCCATTTGCTTGTTCCTTAGTGATTGAAGATCACTGTTGAGTTTCTTCTTATCTTCAGGTGCCAGCTCTGGAACATAATGGGAAAATTATTGGAGAAAGTATTGATCTGATCAAATATGTTGATAGCAACTTTGAAGGACCTTCTCTTCTCCCTGATGTAAGTAGACAGACAAAAGTTTTGTTAGCTTGTTTTGTCACTAAGCATATATTAACATTTACTCGTTGGTTTATTCAAATCAAATTATAGGATCCTGCTAAAAAGGAGTATGCTGAAGAGTTGATATCCTACAGTGATACGTTTAATGGTGCAATAATCTCTTCGTTTAAAGGCGATACTGCAAAGGAAGCAGGTAAAACTTTTCAACTTGATCGCTCTTTTCATCCTGTTATGAACATTGGCTGATTATACTACAAACTCTGTTAGGTGCTCAATTTGATTATTTGGAAAATGCTTTGCAAAAATTCGATGGTCCCTTCTTCCTTGGAGAAATCAGTCAGGTAGACCTTTCATAAGCCCTGGTTCTGTTTCTTTTGAATTTCCAAGTCATGATGTCAGGAGTTTTAGGAAAGCTAACTAGTTTGCTGTGCTTTAAGTAAGTCATGCTTAAAATTTACAACGGGAGTTTTTGTTCTTTAGGTGGATATAGTATACATTCCATTTGTTGAAAGATTCCAAGTTTTCTTATTGGAAGTTTTCAAGATTGACATCACAGAAGGAAGGCCTAAACTAGCTGCATGGATTGAGGTGCGTCGTATGTTTAGTTTGCATTCTGATAGTATGGTAGCTTGGTGTCGATAATTCTGATAAAGCTTTGTTGTGAAGATAAATGGTTTATCCCATACTTCCTAGTTGTTAATTCTATCACTTCTCAAGTTCTGAGAAATCTTTCAGCCTAAATTAGTATGTCTCTGAAGCCCCATTTACCCACTTTCTTGTTCCTTGATTTTTCCTATCTTTGCATTTTCTACCACAAGTGTGTTTGATATAGCTAGCTTCCTTTGTGATTTTGTATGACCAAAAATGTTTTCCCCCTAAAATATGCCAAGGTTTGGTAACAGAGAACAAACACTTTTGGAAAAACTAAAATGATTTGGAACTCTCTTCTGAATAGATTCTAGTGATTTCAAAGTGATCGAACTGAAGATCACTTTTAGAATTATTTGATTGTAATTTGAACTTTGTAATCATTTTAAAGAGAATGTAACAAAAACCCAAGCATTTCAAGTAGGTAAAATAAATTTGTATCTTCGAACTTTCCAAATTGAATTAATTAGAACTCTAAGTTGATAATGGTATGATTTAAGAGTCTATGTTTTCTCAAGTGAATCAATTTAGATTCTTCGTTAGTCTGTTGGAAAATCACTGAAACTATCGTCGTGTCTCTTATGCATTTTATTTGCTCTATCATTGCCAATTTCTCTTCGAACATCGATCTCTTTAATGATGAAAATTTGAATTTTGTTTCATATAAGCATATACTAAGCCTTTCTTATTCTCTAACATGTTCATCTGCACACACTTCAACCCACAATCCTCAATCAACCCTCTTCCACTCAAATCTTCTGATCTGGTTGTACCAAACGAACCTTTGCTTCAATTTCATCTTTTCAATTGCATCATTGTCATGAATGTCAATGTACTTATTGTTTGTAGGAGTTCAACAAGAGTGATGCTTACAAACAAACAAAAGCCGATCCCAAGTTGGTCGTTGAAGTTTATAGGAAGCGATTCTTGGTAACATTTGCTTTGCTACACATCTTGCATATAAATGCAATTTTCCTCAAGAATCTATCTATCTATGCTGCTTTGTTAACATCTTTTTTTGTATACAAATTGTCTAAGCAGGGTTAAGAACGAACGATGGGGAGGTTGCGTGTTGCCATATAATAAATAAGTCGTTCGACGTGTCGACAGAGAAATTTCGGCATTTATACTTGTACTTGCTTTTCATGTAATTTGGTTGTGTTATGAATGAAATTTGAGGCATTTAGTAGTTATCATGATGTTAAATTATAGACCATTTTCTTTTCTACTTGGTTGATAATATGAACGTGTAAATTGTGTGAGGATTACGGATCCCTTGAAAAAGTCTAACCTAAAAATGAATTAGGAAAACCATCCATTATTACTCTTAAATGATGAAATTAAAAAAAAAAATCCAATTTAAGTACTTCAATTTTTAATGAACTTTTAATAAAAAATTGTTAAAAACAAAAACATTTTCTCATTTTTTTAGTTTAATTGAACTTAATTTTATAAAACGTTTGATTTTTATTGAGCTTTGAAGGACTTTTGTTTGATTTTTATTGAGCTTGGAAGGCCTTTTTGTTTGATTTGTATTCAAATTAGTGGGGTGAATTTAATTAGAAAAAATGAATAAATTGTGAAAGTGAAACAAATATTATATGAGATTTATGAATTATAATATCATATTAAATAATCAGATCTCACTGTTTGAAATTTTTAACATATTTTGATGTGTCAGAATATTGGACTTCAAAGGAGTAGATGGTGAGATCTCACACAGGAGAACTAAAATTCAACTTGTACAAATACATTTTATTGTCATTTCTTTATTCCAAGCCTACACATATTGATGACATAAAAATACAAATGGAACAAAGTCCACTTACATTCAGGCAACACATAACATAAAAGCAATTAATCATGTGAATTTGAATTTCTCAAATTAACGCTATCAAGCTATCAAGCCACTTATTATTGTACTCCAAGTTGTTGTTCTTAAGCCTGAAAACAACAAAATTAAACATTGTATGAGCATCATAAGAAGGCTGTAGCAATGAGAATATTATCATACAAAATAAAAATGTAATTACAGAAAGTTATTGTGTTAAAGCATATGGTACCATGAAGCGAGTCTTGTAAAGTTCAACAATGGCTTTAGGATCATATTTTGTTTGCTTGTAAGCATCAATCTTGTTTAACTCCTGCATCAAAATAACTAAATAATTGAATAAAATTCTTTGGTATGAAACGTTCACCCTTTTTATTAAGACCAATTAAAAAGAGATCACGAAACACTCTTTAAGACACTATTACACTTCGTTTTTCTTGTAAGTGGTAGTAGAGAAGTATTTATTAGTAGAGGCTAGACGATGCGAATCAGCCATTTTCTATAATATTCCTATAGTATCTAGAGATTTAAACATTTCTAGAACATTCTTTAAATATCTTGATATTCTACACAATCCTAAAAGTAACACTACGAAACTTCTAGATAATGAGCTTGGCTCATACTTTAAGTGGATTGATTAGTCTTTTTTATAATTGGGCTCTTACAATTATTGAGTTTATCCCGCTGGGTTAATGATGACTTTTTTAAAGTCATTTTCTACTTTTTCAAGCATTTTGACAACTTTTTGATCTCAAACTTTTACAATTATAGCAATTCTTCGTTTATAGTTTTAAATATTTTACTCTCAATCTCCAAATTATTCGGGAATTGTCACTAAATTTTTATATTGTATTTGATTGAAATCATAGACTAATTATTTATGAACTTGATATCAAACTCACGATATGTAGCTTAAAATACAAGTTAAAATAGCGATCATTTTTATTGGATATGATATGGAAGTATATGTTGTAGGCATATAAAAAGTAGAGTATTTCACTAAACAATAACACAATTTCAATTATTACCTCAATCCATGCAGCTAGATTAGGTCTTCCTTCTGTGATATCATAGTTGAAAACCTTGGCTAAGAAAACATGGAACCGTTCAATAAATGTGATGTATGCAATGTCCACCTGAAGAACACAATAATAAAGATTTGTTTCCATCAAACAATTATTTTTTATTTTGATCATCAACTATTGTTTGTCAAAAGACAGTTTGTTGTATATTATCATATAAAATTGAATGATATTTTGTAAAAAAAAATCTTACAAAAAAAAAAATCATATTTTGCTAAGTTTCTTAGAATTTTGAAATACACTACTTAACATAAAGTGTAGTCAACAAAAATATTGACATCTAGAAATATCAATAAAATGTGAGTTTTTATAGATAATTTTTGAAAAATTATAAAACAACAAAAACAATAAAAATATTTCAATTAATAAGCAAACATTTTCACTTTCTAAATATTTGTTTATTATTGACATGGGAGGGAGTTAGATGAAAGAAGAGAAGAAAGAAAGACTAAATAGGGAACACTATTAAAGTCAGTGGATTTCAATAGTAAACACTCTGTTTTGATGAGTTGGAGTAAGTAAAGCATGTTGGTCCAACTGAACTAGACTCAATTTGGACTAAATGCTACTCAAAGTATAATGAATGAGACATCTTTTAGTGTGTCATCGTGAATCATAAGAAGTAAACAGTAGTAGGATGTAGCAGTTATTTCATATAATAGTCGAAGAATGGTGGACCATCTACACACTCACAGATATGAATAAACAATGAATAAAATAAAGTAAAATTACCCCACTCATAGATATAAAATAAACAATAAATAAAATATAGTAAAATTACCCCACTGAATTGACCCAAAAAGAATGGGCCATCATCAAATTTTTGCAGAGCAGTCTCCAGGTAATCAAATTGAGGACCTGAAGAGAAGTTCTTCAAAACCAGCTCTTGTTGTAACAATAACTAAAGAAAAGACTAGAGAGATGAGGGGCCTTTACCTGCTTCCTTGACTGGGTCACCCTTAAATGAAGGGTATACTGCCCCAAGAAATGTGTCAGTATAAGCTAGCAACTCTTCACCGAATTGTTTTTTAACAGGATCCTATAATTTGAATGGTAGAAGTACTGTCAATATAAGCTAGCATCTCAATGAGCTTAAGAAAGGCTACGAAGCAACAGAAATTTTGCCAACTCACATCTGGGAAAAGAGAAGGTCCTTCAAAGTTGCTATCTATGTATTTGATCAAATCAAGGCTTTCTCCTGTAACTTTCCCATTGTGTTCCAAAGCTGGCACCTGAAAATAAGAAGGAATCCCATTGTTGTTAATCCTCAATCATGTAATCCAAGCATTTCCCTCAAGAAAACTACATAGTTACCATGGTTAAATCCCACTTCATTTGGTTCTTGAGTACTTTTGCATATTCGGCTAGCTTACATTGGATCTTGACTACTTTTAAAGAACTAACTGTTGGACTGATTTTGTCTTTTTGGTCTCTTGCAAGTCTTGTTTTGTTTCTACTTTGAAGTATTTTATTTTAGTTCCTAAACTTTTATTAACATTCATCTTGGTTCTTATCCATCAAAATTACCAAGCCACTTTGTTTTCAAGTTGGAAACAAGATTTAGGTCATAATTTAAAACACGAATCTATGCAATGTCCCAGCGACATTATATGTGTATCAAACCAGGTTAGACTAAAGTTCAATGACAAACAAATCATTCAATCGTATAAAGAGTATGAAGACCAACTTGAACTTACCTTGTTTGAAGGGTATACTTTTTCCTTATACCAGGCAGGCCTGTTTTGAAGGTTTAGAGGCACTAGTTTAATTTGATCTTGTAGTCCCTGCAACCCCCCAAAAAAACAAGAAGAAAAATGATGTCCAAAAACAAAGGAGAAACCAGCAGCTTGTAAGTAGAAATCTCAGGCAATAACCCAGCACTGAACAGAGAAATCACCTTGTAATTTCTTGTGATCCAAGCACGCTGTGCAAACGGGCAATAGTAAGCTATATACAACCTTTAGAAACAGAGCCACAAATTGCAGAATCTTTGGGTTAGAGAATTTCTCCAGCGACAATCCATATACAAATTAGCTTCGGTTAACAATAATTTTCGTTTATAAAGTAAGAACTTAATCTTTAAACTTTAATCTAATTTGATATCTGAAATTGAATACATAGAAATTTAGTTCTTCTAATCTAAAATTATAACGACATAGTTCTTACCATATAAAATTTTGTTAACATTTAACATGTCTCTTATATATACAAGAAGATCAAATGTGTTTATTATGTATAAGTATCGAGACTAAATAGTTTTAGGTTACTACATTGTTACTTAACTAGCAAACAACCAACCTGGTAGTTCCGTCGAAGAGTGGAGGCTGTTCGGCGTCGGCCTCTAATGACGGCGGACGAACTTCCGGCACCACATTTCTACAAAACACAAAAATCAAACAACCAAATAAATCATAAAAAAACAACAACAAAAAACGAAACTAAAATCCAGAGATGAACATCAACGAGGAACTCATTTCTTCCATCGTGAAATACTCACAAAGTAGTAGCCATCGATTTCTCCCGGCACGAACTTCCGGCGATGTTTGCTCGAAGATTTTGAGGGTGTGAGTGTGAGGAGGTTATTTGGGACTGGTGAGTATGAAAATGGCGGGCAAGAGCCCTTATATAGGCCACCGGAGCACAGTCTAAAACGGGAATTCGCAAGCAGTGACGTGGCGGTCGAGCTGGCGGCTGAGTGCTTAATTTGGTGAAAAATAAATATATTAAGAAGACCAACTCTGAAGCAAAGTGGATAGCTTTTTTCTGTTTTTTCGCGATTATTTTATTATTTATTTAATTATAAAAAATGTTTTCATAATCATTAATTTGATATGTTACGTCTCTGGTGACATAATTTCATTGAAATTATTAATATATAATTATATTTTAATTAATGTGTTGATTAAGATATATTAATTTAATAATATTATTTTGTTTGTATCTCCTCTCATTTTTTTAGTTCTCAATTAAATTAATATATATTTTTTAATAATTTTAATTTGTTTCTAATATATTTTATTTGATAATTATATTTGTTTTACGAAATTCACTTTAAAAATCCATCGTCTAACGGCGTTTCATATCGGAAAATGAAAAACGCCGTTATTCCTCTGCCCGGTGCCCGAAATACAAACCGCCAAAAAAAATCGAACCGCCAAAAATATTAGAAACCGCCAAACCGGTCAGGCGTTGAAGAAACGGTACTGCATCGAAGAGCTCACCCTCTTTATCGCCATTCAAAATTTCGCGAAGGTCCCGATATTCGTTCTTCAATGGCGACGGATTTCTCAGCAGAACTGAGAGGAAAAATTCTTCCAGGATCGAGACTAACCATACGGCCAGATTTAGGATTCGCAGCCGCTGGTAATGGCAGAGTTGATCGACAGCAAGGTTGCCGTTTCTCCGATATCGGACCTTCCTCTTCAGCTGTTCTCACAGCTACGAAGGAAGGCATTGAATCTCAACGTGCTGCCGTGGGGTGAATACCGGAGTATTATGCTTCTGTTTTTGATATATTCAAGAAGATCCGTCGTGTAGAGCGGTTCGGGATTCCTGTATGTTTGTCGGAGGCTGAAAAGCGATTCTCTCGAGCTGAGAGGTGATTTTGCGGTTTCGTTGCATTGTTTCTTTTTCGTATGATTTGATGGGTGTTTGTATGGCTAGGCTCTGAGGAGTGGAGGTGTGTACTATTCTATTTTTTCCTTGGCTGAATTTCATGTTGTTCCATGGATCGATAGTGAATTCATCAGTTGATTAATGCATTTGTTCACGAACAGGGTATTCTATATTCTCATTTTTTCGAAGTGGATGCAGAAGATAGTTCTGAGCATTTTCGTATTTCATTATTTTTGCCTTGCTTGAATTTCATGTCGTTTCATGGTCGATAGTGAATTCATCGAATTCATCAACTGATCGATGCATTTATTTACGAACAAGACTTTCCGAATTCTCATTTTTCGAAGTGGATGCAGAAGATAGTTCAAAGCTTCTTCATATCGCATCCTTTTTTCCTTGTTTTCCTGTCTTGTGTCGTTGGATAATCTAAAAGCTGCCGTTTCGTTTGTGAACTGGAAATTTTGCAGGTTCGCCATTGATTCAGTATGTGGGCCAGATGAAATGGCCAAAGCACAGAGGAGCTGAAGAGAAAGGCAAGAGCAGAGAGATTCTCTCTTTGCTTTATTACTATCGTGTTACAGAAATTTGTACCATTAATCTTTCCCAAGTTCGACAATCTTTTCTGTTTTTCAGATTTGAGCTATTGACTTTGTCTATGTCTACTGACGAGGAGGCAAAGAAGAAAGCTCGGCTTGCCAGATTTGCTCCATTTTCATAGAGTATCCTTTGATTCAATAAGAAGCTATAAGTCTTATGTTCAATCAAGCTATTATCCATTTAACCAATTGGACAAGCCGAGCTCTTAACCAATAACCATTTAGTTCCTCGTATCCTGAACCTTTTTAGTTGAAGGATGCGGCCATTTCTTTTGTTTGAAATGTATAATATTGGACTCCATTAGACGGAGGTGAGGTTTAAAATGTCCAGAACTGTTCTCTCTTCATCAAAATTGAAGGGTCCACTAAAATTATTTAGACTATCATTATCCTCGCTTTTCCAATTCTCAAGCAAGCTCTTTTGAGTTCGATCCAAGTAAAATGGTAGGAAGGGGGATGTACCTGTTGTTCAGTAATCAATCTAGAATGTATAATTCCTGATTCTGTTTTCGGGAAGTACACGATTCTATGGAAAGCACGACAGTGGCCTCAAAGAAGTTAGTCCAACCGTTTCATGCATTGACGATCAATAGATTTTGATTTTCATCTTACAGACCTTCTTCAACTAAATTTACTTGGAAGTTATCTAATTGATTTGTTTATCTTTTTCAGGTTCGAATTGATTTTCATTGGTGTCGCTGAGTTGCTTCTTTCTCCACATTTGCACACTGAAATCCTGATGCATAGTATTACTATTGTCATCCAGGGCCTTTTTTTGAGTCGGGGAATAAGATGTGACGACATGAGGAGGTTTGAAACCATTCTTTCCTACAGAACAAAGTGTTTATTTTTTTGTTTTTGTTGCTCTTAAGGATTTGTCAGAGGGAAAAACTAAAAATTTTGTTGATTGACTGACACAAGGTGATCGATTGAAAATCAGAGGCTTCCTTAATTCTAAGAACGCATGTATATCACCTGTTGCTTCTTCCTCTATCCCCATAGCAGTTACTAGCACAAGGTCTCTGCCCTCATCATTTTGCTGCTCTGGTTGTTATACTTGAAAAGGTATGATACGGCAGGGCTCTTTGGTCGTGATCGAGAATGGCAGACAGAGCCCATAAGTGTTTAGGATTGCTTCAAGGACCTTGTGTCTGCTTACACTCGGGTTTGTTTATCCCTTTTTTTCTTCTCAATTATCACTTGCTAAGGGTCTAGAAAAACCTTCAATAGCCTGTCAGATGGGGTAAGAAATGACTAGTTAACCTTTCTTGTAAAGACTTGGCTTTCACTATATGTTTCAGGCTTGCTTTTCTTGGTGAACAGAGTACAATTAGACTTATTGGTGAAGGTTATAATATTATAGGCCTAGTTCATATATATGAAATATCATTATTTGCTTATCCTACAGTGTATCAGCATTTGTATGCCTGCCAATCTATACACCAACTCTCAAAACGAGAGAATATTACATGTTGATAGTAAAGAACTAGACAATGTGGAAAAACAAGATTTACAAAGATGAACGATGTAGTTTCATTTTGTTACATGAAGAAACAATTTACGAACTTTGTACATTTACATCCATCATCTTCTATTTTACTTGCCAATAGAAGATCTTACAAATTAATAGATCTTTCTAAGAAGCCTGAATTTTCTAGCTATTTTTGTCAATAAATTGAGAATGATATAAAGACGTTAACAAAGTTTACCAGCTAGGAATTTTCAGACGAAGGGAGACCTCCTCTGATTGACAAGGAACAAGGGGAGGGCCTACCATTGATCAAATGAGGATCTAAGAACACAACTACAACAGAAATGTCATCGTGAAAATGCCTTCTCACACCTCTATCTATCTTTTTCAGGTCTGAATATCTCATCTCTCTTTTTTTAGCTGCTTCTCGAAGTGCAGCCTTGACAAGTCTCCTTGCTATTCCCTGCAGTTTCCACCAAGTTGAACCATAAATTCAAGACAACTTTTGCAACGAATATGAAAGGAGATAGTCATCAATTCAATCAACATGGTGGTTTATGAGAAGATGTATTCTTACATTTCGAGAATAGCTGTTGACGATGTCAACAGCCTTCTGGTTGCTAAGGTGCTCCCACAGGCCATCAGAAGCAAATATGAGATATTGATCATCTGGGCGGAGTTTGTGCACCAGAATTGATGGTTCTGCACTGAGGATTGGTACGTAAAATGGCTCAGGCAGTTGAAATTTAGGCGGCAGAGGAGGTCTGTTGAACTTTGCCTTTTTCAAATATGCATCGCCAATGGATCTTGAAACCTGCAGGGGTAAGCTTTTAAAGATTCAGAACTCTAGAGGCTTTCCATATATTGCTTCACTTAACAATTTCAACAGCTACACTCTCAGATTTCGAGAAAATTTCAGGAAATTACCTGTATGATACCTTTAACACGCCAAACATTGTGTTTTAGGATCACAATCTGAGGATCTTCTGGATGGACCATCCGAAGTTCATCTCTCACTGATTCTATGCCCGCATTGTGCTCTGTGGACAATTGAATGGCAATGATTTCTTTAGTGGCTCGCTCAGTTCTCCCGAGCACTACTCGCGAATCACCTGCATTGGCAATATACAGCTGTCCGTTGCATATGATCCCCACCAAACAACATGATCCAGCAGATGCAATCTTTGGTTCATTAAGCCACTGTTTCTGGACGAGAGAGAGAAATCCCTCTTCTGTTGCTGCAAAAGCCTTCCTGATAACGTTTTCTGATATGTTCTGGTGCAAAGATGCATATCCTGCACTTCAAAGAACCACAAAGACACATCATAATAAGCTCGTGGGAACTTAAATTCCTGCATAATTCAAGAACCAGACAACCAAAAGAAATCAGCTTGTACAATATTTGGAATGAAGATGAGAACCAACTTTTGAGATTGCTGAAGAGATTGTCATTGACGAACCGCGAAGCTTCAGTTCCACCATGACCGTCATAAACTCCGACGAAGGTCCCCTGTGGACCTGGATTGGACATACTCAATGCCCCAGATTCAAGCTGGCTTTGATCTTCCACCACATTATTAGCTTGGATGACTGCCATGGAGAATTGTCCATAAACATGGTGCCCCAGATCCTTAGACCACAACAATCCATCGACTCGTCCGTTTGAATCATCATCATCATGGGATTTCCAGCAGGGTTTAACCATTTTTTCTAAAAGGCAAGTCACTGGACACAAAATTACAGAAGTTTCTGTTTCATGTGTATCATCCAAATGAGCCAGCAATCAAAAAATTCATCATCCCAGATCAAGAACATGACCAAGACCAAATCTCAGCTCCAAGTTTTGTTTATACTCAACACTCACAACCGTTATTCCTGATACCACGAACCCCCCTATATACCCAGACACCATTAATATGAACAAATTTTCGTTTTGCAGATAAAGACCGGACAGGTATGGGCTAAAATAACTGCAAAGTGTCCTTTTGAGACAAGAAAGCAATAGTCTTAATACAAGTTCAGAGAATATGGAGGTGATGCTGGTCCTGTGTACCTTGAATCTGGGATTTATGGGTTTGGCCCTTGCATCTGTGTCATCTTCCAGGAACAGACTGAGCTGTAAAAGCACATAATGGTTAAGAAAGTGGCAGCGTTTGGTCTGAGATCAGAGTGATCAAAAAGAGAGGGAGTGCCCAGCCGATTGGAATCAATGAAGGTTTTTTTGGAAGCTTTTCAACAGAGGATCGAGCCGGGTTAGTTTCTTCTTCTCTGTGCTTCTTTTCTTTTCTTTTCTTTTCTTTTCTCCTTTTTCCTTTTTCTTATGCGATCTAGCATGGGGATAATAAAAACACACTAAACAAACTACAAATCTGACATTGTTGTTCCTCACCCCTCCCCCAATCCCCCTCCTTTCTTGTCTTCTCTCTTCTGTATTTTCCCCTTGCCTTCTATTTTCTGTATTGTTTTTTAGACCAGTGGTGGGCTTTTTATGGATTTGGGGCCTTCAGCCATTTCATGTCTACACTGCAATTATGAAAACCTCTTAACTGAAATTTATGAGCAAAACCCACCATTTCTAATCGCCTTATCATCAGCCATAATCCACTCTTTCAGGCAAACTTTCGTCATCTAAATCAGAAAACCCCTCTTTTTATTTACCCATTTCTGATCTGCAAATTGGGATTTTTTTCATTCCTTGTAAATCCAACAATCTCTTTGCCTTGCCTTGCCTTGCATTTTCTCCTAATAATTTCTTTTTTGAAAAAAAAAAGGAAGACTTTTCAAAGTGGGTTTCAGCATTGGTTTCTTTCATTATCCCCCATCTTATTAGGCTTGATAGTATAGAGATCAGGACATTAATGAGTAAACCCTAAGCCTAAGCCTAAGCCTTCTTAATTAGCAAAATATAGGAATTGATTGAGCGAGGTTTTTGGCTCAATAAATCAAAATTCTAAAAACTGTATCTCTATTACAAAGCAACAATAAAGTGGTTGTGAAATTAAGTCTGATATGGCATTGCATAGCTGTCAGCATGGCCGAGCAATTATGAAAGAGAGAGAGAGAGGTAGGGAGAAAGAGCTGAGAAATAAGTTAAAAGAGAAAAGGATAAAAGTGGGGAAGGGAATTATATTCTGTCAAATACAAAGCTCATAATTTGTCAATCAAAAGTCATACTACAGATTCGAGTGTCCTTATCATCCTACTTATAAAATTACTTCTTTTAAATTACAATTTATTTTAGTCTCTCTTTCACATAATTTTTCCATATGGTGGATTTCTTCTCCTTTGTTCATTATTTTTGGTTGATTTTTTTTTCTGTGGCTAAATATATGTTTGAGTCTCTAATATATCATTTTTTCCCCCTAAATTGCTTGAATATTTTCATTTTGTCTCTATATTTGAACATTTTTTAATTATATGTTACTGTTAAAATTGATTGATGATAAACATACGATGCCATGCCAAACCGCTACCGTGTTTTCTAATCAATCAACTAACAAATTTGTTGCCAAATCAATAAAAAAGAAATTTTCATTTTGACATATTAAGGAAATGGAATTTCTTTTCCTATCTCTTAGTCTGAAATTTGGAGAAGTAAGAGCCAAAAGAATTGGAAATTATTGGCTATAAGGATTATTTATTTATTTATTATTATTATTTTTATTATTTTACCTTTGCCCTTTCATTTATCATTTATTTGGAAAGTATCTGAAAAATATTTTTATTTTAATATATATACCAAAAAAAAGTCTAATTTTTTGGTAGTGATGTGAACATTACACCAACCAAAATGAGTGGTACATGCACAAGGCCCTATTTCTGGGATCATCTCTGGATCTTATTGATCATATTGTCCTCTTAGACCCCCACCCCCCTCTAAATATGTAAATATTTAGCTTTTTGTACACGTGTTTGCTTTCGATACATTTAAAATGAGTCGTCTTTCGAAATTGGAAGGAGTCGTCTTCTAGATGTGTGATTTGAATGGCCTAAGTCATCCTTGTTGCATCCAGCTTTAGATGAATTGTCATTAGTTTAAAGTAATGTCGAATTGACCCGATAAATAATTATTTGGATTTGGTATGAAGAGTACATTAAATTAAATAAATAATTTCGTTTGTCTGCAATTATGAACAAATATGAATTCTATCGCGTTAGATTCGAGTCTAAATAGAATTGGAAGGATTAGAAGTTTTTTACTTAAAACTATGTAAGTATATTTCTTTTTTATTTAAAACATACAAAAATAGAATAAAATAAAATTTTGATATATACTTTAGAATGGACAAATTTAGCTATATACTTTTCAGTTGGGCGTTAACTTTTCTAAATATTAAAAATATTATTCAATTTTTTTATTGAAAATTATTATTATTATGTTCTTGAATTACAAATTAACATAGATTACTAACTAAATTTAGACATTTAAAAGTGCATGAACTTGAACGTCTTTATTTTTAGATAGTGATTTAAATTAAGTCATCGTTCTCGAGCATGACATGAAACCGTTATAATATAAACAATTGAAAAGAAAATGATTTCATGTGGGCATGATGATTTTGCTTTGTGTCCCAAAGGAAATATGGGATGTTTCACCCTCTCTTTTATGAGTTTGAAAAGGCGTCTCTTCTTCTACAGTTGTTTGGTGGATGTCTTGCTTTGAGCTCACAAACATTCATGTTGGTGCTCTCTTCCATCTTGTAATGCCTTTCACATCACACCTTCAAAAACTTCTATATAAAACCAATAATCCCAAAAAAAAAAAAAAAAAAAA